AGTTAAAGAAGTAGATAAAAATAAAGTAAATAGAAAGCTCAAGATACTAGACAAAAAAATCAGTATAAAATTACTAAAAATCTAAAAACAATAGTTTAATGCTTAAATAGAAGATATAAAAAAATAAAAATAAAAAAAATAAGAACAAAAACAAAGAAGACAAATAAAAGATAATATAAACAAAAAATGTAAAATAATCAAACCCAATTAAGAAAAAATAATAACCAGCCTTTTGAACAAGTTATATAAGAAAATAATACTTAACAGAGTAATTGAACAAATAGAAGAAAAAACTAGATTAGTAATAGAATCAGAACTAGTTAAAAAAGTAATAATAAAACATTATAAAAAGCAATTTAGAAGAAAAAATATGAAATTAAAAAAAAATGATATAAAGAAATTAAAAAGAAAATTGAGAAAAAAAAGTAAGATAAGATAATTAAAAAGCTCAAACAGAACAACTCTAAGAATATTAAAAATAAGCTATATCCTAATTAAATAAACAAAAAGAAAAATATATAAGATTTTTAAAGTCTATATTTAGAGACAAAAGAGATACTAAAAAATAAAAAATAGCTCAAGTATATCCAATACTGAAAAACATAGAATAGAAATATAGTTTGAACAATATTTAACCAATAGCACTAATTGAAATATTTAAAAAGATTATAATAAAGTTAATAACAAAAAAGCTTAGCAAAATATTTGCTAAAAACAAATACTTAAAGAACAAAACTATATAAGCCTATTAGAAAACTTGACAAAACAACCAATACATGTTCTAAATATAATAATAAAAGAAACAAAAAAAAAGAATAAAGAATTATGAATACTTTTACAAGATATAAAAAAAACATTTGATTTAGTTTTATTTAAAAGTCTTAAGCTAGTCTTACAAAGAGTCAAAATACTTAGGATAACAATCAAGTATATCTTAAACCTTTTTTATAAAAGGTAGCTTAAAATAATTATAGCCTATGTTTTAAGGATGGCATCATTCATCATTTAATTTTTTTTTACCAAAAAGATACTTCTTCTTTCTCTTTTTTAATATATATCTGATTAGGTTCTTTATATTAAATTTTAATTTTTTTACCTTTCTCTTTTTCTAAAGAATCAAGTAATAAATAACCCTATCCTAATAGAAAAAATAATAGCAAGAAATAGAATAGATCAAAATAAAGTAATATTATTACTAATATAGTGTTTTTTCTATGATCTGCTGTTAGAAAAGATACAAACAAAGGTTATATAATAGAACAAGAGATTAAAGAGAGAATATACTATAATAACATTACAAGATACTGTCAAATAGCAATTATATATATAAATGATATAACATGAATTGTGTATAATAAAGAACAATTGCTAAAGACTCTAAAAGTAGCAGAAGAGTTTTTCAAAATAAATAATATAAAGATAAATAGGTCTAAATCAAACCTAATAATAATAAATAAAAAAGTTAAAAAAGAAAGAAAAAAAATAACTTTTGGAAAAAACAAGATAATAGAAGAGCCAAAAAACAAGATAATTTGTTCATTAAAAATCTGGCTAAACAACAGAATGCAAAAAGTCTTAGTAAAGAAAAAAGCAAAAAGAATAATAAGTCAAATGATAAGAGATCTTAAGTATAAGAAAAAGATAATAAGCCAAGTTGAATATATAAACAATATGATAATAATTTTAAAATTAAGCTATATGTTGCAATTAATAAAAATATTAGAGAAAGTAATAAATAAAATACACCAACTAATAATATATTTAGCAAAACAAAAAAGCAATTTACCAAAAACATTAGAGAACTGTATAATAAAATATAAGGATTTTGGTAATTACAAAACTTTATAACAAGAACAAACAATGAAACAAATAGAAGGCCTAGTAGTAAAACTAAACAGAAAAGATGAACTATAGCAGCTAATAAAATTAAGAATAACACAGAGTTGTCAAAGAGTAAGTCTAACAAAAAACATATAGAAAGTAAAAAAATTATCAAAAGACAAGTTATATTAAAAGAACAATTTAGTCTGTTTAATAATAGTTAAGATGAAAAAGTTAGAAATAAATATAAGTACAGAAAATAAATTATAAATAGTAAGTAGTTATAGTTCTAGAATAAGTAAACTAGTAGAACCATAATTGTAAAAAAGAATTAAACCAAATAAGTAAAACAGAATTAATATATCTAAATTAACTACTTAATACAAAAGAAAAAAACTAATAACATGGCGGCAATTTAAAAACTATCAAGTAAAAACAAAAAGGCAGAGTAGTTTAAGATAATAAAAACAAAAATACTTAATAAATTTGAAAATAGAGAAGTTAAAGAATAATTCAAGACAGACAAATATAATATATAAATAATAAAGATTAAATAGAAAAGTCTATTAAAGGATAAATAAAAAAAAATAGATAGTAACAGTGTAATAGAAGATAGATAATTAAGAAAAATAGTTAAAAAGAAGAAGAAGCTACTAATAGAATACAGGTGTATAATATAAAAAATAATTTAATAACTAAAATTAATAAATACAAAAAGTGTATAAGAAAAAAAGAAACAGTAGAAAATAGCTATTAATATTAGATAAGAATTAACAATATAAATACAGTTTCAGATATGCTAATAGAAAAAAATAATAATATAATTAAAACAGCTAATAACTAACTAATAGGATATATAAAAACAAAAAAGTTAAGAAAAAATAAATAAAGTTAATAGAACTTAAAATGTTAGAAGGTTTAAAAATAGAGTTAATTAGAAAACAAAAGCTAAAAGAAAATATTAGTTAAGAGTTAGTAGAGATTTTAAGAAAAAATATATTGAAAAACAAGAACAAATACATAATATATATATATAGTGTAGCAAATAAAAAAACAAAAAAGAGATAATAAATAGAAATATAGATATAGAATGAGTACAAATAAGTAAAACACAAGATTGGTCAGAAGAAAAAATAGTATTAAAGGTAAAAAATATCTACATTTACTACAACTAAAGTGTTAGCAATATAGATAGCAGTTTTAACAATACTAAAGAAAAAAAAACCAAAAATATTTACAGATAACAATGTAGCAATTAGGAATATTGGTAAAGACTTAGTATGTATAAATAGAAATATAATTCTTAAGAGAAAAAATATACTATAGATATTGAAAATAATTAATATAATTAAAACAAAAAATATATAAATAAAATAAATCAAAATGAAAAATTATATTAAGAACAAATAGAATAATAAAACTAATAGTCTTGTGAAAAAAAGAATATTAAGCAAAAAATAATATTTTTAGAAGAAGTTAGTTATAAAAAGATAGAGTACTGACTTAAGTAGAAAAAAAGTAAATAGACTTATTAGCAAGTCTTTTATATAAAATAATAACAAATATCAAATTAGAAGTAGAGTAAAAGAAAACAATAACAATTAAGAACATAAAACTAGTAACAAAAACAATGACCTATAATTGAATATATTTTTAAAGAAGACTAAAATCATCTAAAAAGATACATTATTTAATAAAAAAAAATAATATAAGAAGAAATGTTTTTATAAAATATATATTAAATAAATTTCTGTTTCTAAAAGAACTTAATAAAAAAAATTCAGATATATACACAATAACAGAATAATAAATCTGTTAAAGTAAAATCAAAAAATGCAAAAATATTTGACATCTTGTAAAGAACAAGCAAACTTATAAAAAAGAATACAAAAAGTATCTATTGTAACAGTATAAAAAAGTTTAAAAGAAGAAAAAAAAATCTTGATTTCATCTTATATATTATATATGACACTTTTTAAAAAAATAAAAAGAAATAAAATAGAAATAAGAAAAACACTAATTAAAAGTCTAATTTCAAAAATAACTCAAGACAAATTATTACAACTTTTGAGTACAAGAATAAGACAACAATTATGAACATAGTAGCAGAGACAATATGAAACATTTTCTACAAACAAGTCTAAAGAATATGTTATAAAAAAATTAACATATAAGAAAAAGAAAGAAAAATATTAATTAAAATAAAAAAAAGAAAAGAAAAATTTAAGCAAAAAAGAAAAACTAGTTAGCAAGAAATAGAGAAAAGAAAAAATGAATTGAAAAAAAAGTTAAAAAAACAATTTAGAAGCTTGTTATAAAAGAGTAAAGACCTTTTTATTATAGACTTTAAGTAATCAAACAAGCAACTTACTTTTGCTAGAAATAATATAACAGGTTGCACTTAAACATTATTAGAATAGCTAGGTAATACTAGGCTTAGTTGTTAAATATATTTATATAATTGCAATAGTAATTTTAAAAATCTTAATAAAATACTAGCTTAACTGCTTATAAAGAAAAAAAATTTATAAATATTAATCTTAACTATAATAATATTAAATTAACTATAAATGAAAATACAAAAAATTCTAAAAGATTTACCTTAAAAATAAGTTAATTCTAAAATTAAAATAAAAATCCAATATAAAAAAAAATTTTTATAACTTGATAAAGTTAATATTAAGAATGCAAATTTAAAAGATTTAAAATAAAACATTTAAACAAAAATATTAAATATGGCAATTAGTAAAAAACCTAAGCAAACTCTATATAAATACATTACCAAAAACAATGTTAATAAAGTCAAAAAACCAAAAAAATCACCTTAATAACAAAAAATTCAAAATTAAGCAAATTTTTTAAAAATAATTTTTTTTTAAAAAAACTTATAAAATTAATTGTTTGCTTAATTTCCATTATATCAATCCTATATATAAAATTTGTTTTTTAAACAATTTGAAATAAAAAATAAATAATTTTGAAATAAAAAATAGTCAGTTAATTAATAATTTGAAGTACAAAACTATAAATTTGAAGCCTCAAAAAAGGTTCAATTTTTTAAATCCACTAATATAAATTTCCACTATTAAATTTGCTACTTTTTATATTCTTTAACGGCGATTTACCACTTAAAAATCCAAAAATTCTTTAATTACCCATATATACAAGTTAATTATACTTTATTTTTTAACTTCGTTTAACTCATTTTCTGAAAATTTTCTTAAATCAGTCAAAACATTAAAGATATGTTGAAGTTTTCTAAGTTGATCGTTTTTTATCTGAATGAATTCGTTATACGCAGCTTCTTGAACAGCATTATACTCATGAATACAATGGTCATACCTAAAAACAAAATCAACATTAGCAATTATACTTAATTGCAGATATATATATCACCAAAGACGTACTGAATTTGAATTTCTTGACTTTTTTGTTTCCATTCAAGATAAACTGCAGCACCTTCAGATCGCAACTGACTAATTCTTTGTTCAAAAGACGTGCATCGTTTTGCCAGCGTATCGATTTCGCTTTGCTCAGACTGTAATAAGTGAAACAATATCTTCACTTGACATGTATTGATCTACAAAATATGGACGATAAAGTATAATACTTTCCTGCTTTACTTCCTCAAATTGTCGTGCTAGTATATTCTTATTATCCTCCAGTGTATTTAAATCTATTAAATAAAAATATATTTCAACACGTCTAATAAAATATCAAAAAATTGACAATCAACATACCAATTTCTTTATCAGTGTTATCATCACTAAGACGATGAATCTCTTCACTTATTAAAGTTATCTGTTCTTGAATTTTATCATATTCGCTATTAAATTTTTCGCGGACCTCTGAGAGTTTGGTCTTTTGATATTAATGTACGATTAGTGTTGTAGCAGTATGCAAAAACATTTTGGACATTACATACCCTAACATAGTTTCTCAAATCCAACGATATTATTTTATCAATCCGATCTGCATTCACATCAAGAGACAATTCATAATCTTTACCATCAGCATATTGTGCACTTGATGGTAACAAACCAACACGATAAAGACTGGTGTTATAATATTGAATTAACTTTTCAATCTATTACATAATTATTTTAAAGTTAGGCCCAGATTTTTAAAAATAACAAAAAAAAAAAAAAGTCACGACAACGTAATACATCGGCTATCCTTTTTTCAAGGTCAAGTCCTTTTTCCCATTGTAATTTAGCCAATTCTTTTGCTTTAGCAGCAATGGCATTACGATTATTCGTTATCTGTTCGCTTTCTTTATGCATCCTTTCAACATCGTCTGGGGATATTGGTTGATTGTCAACCTTTTGTTGGATTTCGGCCTTTTCTTCTTCAATTGTTGCTAATTCAATTTCTTTTTATTAAAAAAAAAAAAAAAAAGTAAATATCAAGAACTAAAACACTGGTCCATTATAGTTCAAGAGTAGGTCTTTACAATTCCTAACAGTATCTAACACATAAAAAAGCTGTCAAAACCTCACTCTTGGACTATGGTATAATACCAACCTTTTCCTTTATGTTCTTCTTCCAATTTGACGATATAATCTTTGAGTTTGATAATTTTGTCTTCCAAATGTTTTGTATAAGCATTAAATTTATTCATATCAGACCGCAACGTTTTATTTTCATTTTGAGCAATAGTCAGTGGATCCTATATAAATTCGATAAGTAATTACACGATGGATGATACATAAATGATAAGTAATATGTCCTCACTTCGCTCATTTCATTCAATTGTTTTTCAAGTTCTTCAACTTCTTTCTGCACTTCTGCACTCTTAGCAATAATATCTGCGTTACTTTGCTCTAATATATTATACTTATTTCGTTAGACATTTATGCAGTTATCTCGTAATTAGATAAAAATTTTATCTACCATAAGCAGCGTCAAATTCATATGCCGCTTCCGAATAATCATCATCACCACCCAAAAATAGGTTATATGCAGTGGTAGCATATTTAAAAAATGCTGAATCAGGATTGAAACCGCCCTCTTCAGTTTCATCATCTTGATCTTCTATGCTTTCTAATGTCTAAATGAACGGAAGATAATCATATTACCTATTCCAAGCAAATGATGTATATTCGTAGCTTGTTATGTAATCGCTAAATTCATCACTTACTGCAACGTATTCAACTAACCACCTCATTGCACCTAAAAAGAAATGCGTGATTAATTTGGATTTGACCCGTATAAATGTTGATTTTGGAAAAAAAAACAAATAAAATACCAAGAAGATGTGGCCAACTTTGAACACTCCCTACAGCTTGTAGCATCGATTTGGTAATATCGTTAACGAAAGGGTACCTAAAACAAAAAAGCCATTCAAAAAATTTGATTATAATAAAGTTGAATATAACATTAATTCACCTTAATTCGCGCAAGGCAGTTGCAATTTCGTCTATTTTCGTTATATCTTTACCATGGTCAAGCCGTTGATACACTAACTTGAATAACGTGTAATAATCTTTTGAAGTATTTATTTTAAAATCCTTAAATTCCCCTTGAAACCCTAGCTTTTCTTTAGCATATGTGTATATTATATCAATTGAATCCACCTGAAACGGTTTGTCACGAATAGGTCGAATATCTTTTATTTGTCCACCTAAGCCACCACCACCTTGTTGGTTACTGGGTTGAATATTACCGACATACATGCTCGTTCGTCTAAAATGATATTTAAATGAATCAATTATACTCATTTATGAGGTACTTTAATTCCACCAAAATAATTAAAACCTGTTCAGTTTTGGAGTCCGACCGGCCCTGCTAGCACCCAGACTGTCATTTAACCCAGTGTTGTTGGCTTTAGCCACGCGTGATGCAAAAGCTGGTGGTGCAAGCTGTGAAAGAGTACCTCGCGTATACTGTTGCGGCTGATTGCGAGCAACAGTCATTGGCTGACGTAAACATGAAGTGGCTACATTATGGAGGTTCGGGTCATTAGCTAACGTAACGCGGCGTTGCGCTAATGCTGAGTATTGCATATGTTCCATGGTTAAAGAATAATTGTGTCACGAATAAGAATGTTGAAAATAAAGTTTACGCGTTTGGGAATAAAGATCACGTTTTAAGGCATTTTTATCAGAAATCTCACTGTTTATTGGTCAGAATTTATCACGAGATTAGTTAAGTTGTTTTATCGGGTTTTGAGAAGTTATCACTATACTAACTTTTTTAAATGGACGAGGATTCTTATTTTTAACTGCGGAGTCCTACAGCTCTAATAAAACCTTGTATACGGCTTTTTTTATTTCATTATGATTAGTTATCGTTTTTTTTTTTTTTTTTATATTAAACTAGCCTTTTGGGGCTGGGACTTTTTATTCAGTATTATAGAATATAGGGACTCCTTAATGGTTAAAAAGTACTCTAAATGTATCCCTTAAACCGTATTCCAGGCAAATTTGTCTGGAAAATTAGATTGTATTTAGTATTTTTTAAATAAAATAATAATTTATTAATGATATAGGGTATACTTTGCTTATGAAATATATTCTTAAAAACATATTTTATAAAGAGTTTTATAATTTACCGCTATAGCGATATATCACCAGTTATATAATCACGTGACTAAAAATAAATGAAATGCAAAGTACCTAGTACAACAAGTAGATCAAATTTTTAAAATATTATTTATATATACTATAGTGCACAATACACATGATTTAAATTTTTTTCTTTGCATTGCACTTTACGGAGTATTTTTACAAAGCAATCTCAGATCAGAATGCATAAACCTGGGTTAGTATTAAGCAAAATTTTTAATGATATTAGTGGAATTGAACAATTCCGGCTATTAACCAGCACTCTAATACATTCCAATCGGATGCATTTCTAACTGAGTTTTGGGATCTTTCTGTGTAGCTTATTACATAAGCACATACGGTCATTTTATCTATAACTTAACCTTATCCTAATATAAATAAGGAACTATGCATATTAATTTTTACCCTCATTCTAACGCTAATTCAATGAATCCTAACTTAAATGTAAGTTTGTGTTAATCATATATATATACATACATACTCAAATACTAATTCATTTTTATAGATAAGTGCAATGATCTTGATGTATACTATGATACTACCATTAACAGAGTTGTGTTAAACTATGTAAATTCAATTATGTATATGATTCCTTTCAACGATATACATAGTACATAAGGTTTTCCTATCTAATACAAAACCTAATATAGTCTCAGTCTTACATGTTAGACATTAGTATGTACTATAACTCAATAAACAAAATACTTCTGTATACAACCTTCATCAATATTGAACATCAAATTGTAAACCAAAGAATTCTAGATATTACAGTTTTTTTAATAATGATCATAATTCCCACATTTTTTACAATGTCATTATTGTTTTTCTTTATTATTTGCTTTATGTGATCCCTTAAGTCATTTTGTGCCAGCTGGTCTTCCTTTGTCTTGTTTTTTTTTAGGATTTAGTAGCTGAAAGTTTTCTTTATCGCTTATAAAATCTTCAATTTAACTGTCTTTACTAGATAATTCAACATTTTCATTAGTAAATTCTTGTAATACCTCAATTAGACGTCTTGAACTTGATTTTGATTGTAAAGCTTTTTGTATAGCTTTTTTATATATCCCATGAAGAGTGTCATATAGAGCCTTTTGTTCAAGAATATTTATTCTTTGCTTAGCATGATCTATCTTCTCTTTGTCAATTGCATACAAATAAGTTATAGGTTTATTATTTTGCTGCTAAAAATTAGCTATTTCATTGTAATATTTATCAGTGATAATAAATGGTTCAAGTGATGCATCTTTATCTTTCTGATACCAGCAAGATGGGATCATTCTGATATGAAACTTGGCTCTACTACTGTTTAACATAATCTGAAAATAGTGCCAGCAAATAATACCCTGTTGAATGATTGTGAGACATGAACACAGATGTGTTTCATTATTTAATAGAACAATATAGTACTTTTCTTTTAATGAATTTCCAATTTTGATTTCCCATATTTTATTAACATTACTCTGTTCAACTACATCCAATAATTGTTGTATAGTAACTTTAGAACTATCGATATGATCTTCTTCAGCATCTGACATGATAATTTCAGCCTCATTATCAAATATAATATTATCATTAAATGTAATGTTTTGAAAATGTAAATGTGTATTATAATAAAGGGATTGATTGATTTCATTACACTGCATCTTTAAAATAGTTGGAGTTAAAAATTTTTGGCAGCATTTGTCTATCTCAGTGAACAAAAAGTTTGCTTGCTCAATATTTTTGATCGTCAGTATAGTAAGTCTCCAATACTTATATTGATTTTGCTTATCTTGCTAGTTAAGTAATTTATGTAATTCTTGCATAAGTTCACAAATTGAAATATTGAAATTATATAACAATCTTTTAAGGCATGCATTCATGCCTTCAACTCTTGATGTTGAAATCATCCTCCTGGTAAATTTAAAACTTGTATATGAATGAGCCCAATACTCTTTTGTTTGAAACAGATTGTTCAGATAAGACTTACTCTTAGGATAGTCATCAATTAACTTTGTAAATTGATTGTAAAAGGTGGTCTTAACTAAACTATTTTTACATAGATAGAAGTCCTTGAGAAAACTACTATACTGACTTCTAATTAAATTTTGAAGATTTTTATGAAAGTTTTGTATGATGTGAAATGCACAATGTATTGGGTATGTTGTTGAGAAAATTTCTTTTACAGCAGCATCAATCGCAGGATCTGAATCTGTCAAAATTACTGTTGGCTGAATATTAGTCGCCTTGAGAATTTGTTTGAAAAACCAAACATGAGAATCTTTACTTTTATCCACAACTAGCCTTTGCACAAGAAGAATGTTTTGTCTATCCCTATCAAATCCTATAAACAATGACAAGGGCATTCTATATCTATTCATCTTATGTGTAATGTCATTTATGACACAATCACTAAATTGTATCCAATTTTCTACCTGAGTTGGCGTCATCCACATCAGATATGTAAGCGTATTGTCATCATTCTATTCTCTTGCTACTATCCATCTTGGATCTTTTTCTTTCTGATTGTCAAGCCAGTTAGACATTTGTGCAGCGTCATTCAAAAGATGCTTGTTAGTAGGTCAAAATTTGCTAATGGCAGCATACAAATCATTATTATAAATAGGTTGAGAAGGATATTTACCTTCTAGATATCTTCTCTGATTTGTTGCTCCCATTCTACAATGCTGTGTCAAAAACTTAATATCATCTATCATTTCTTTGTTGAACCTTTTTTCATGTTCAAATAAAATAGCATCAATATTTAACTCATGATTATGTTCATTTATGACCTTATTGATAAAAACTGCAGAACTTGGATTTTTATTTTTGGGGCAAGAAGCATTTATATGCCATGGGCATCGCATTTTTTTAGTGTCTGTTTCCTTATTAGAGTTGGATTCATAATATCGACTATGCTGACAAACATAAGTTCTTCTTCTAATAACATTATTTTCATGATCAACATAGTCTTTTACAACATTAAATCCATTAGTTTTACTTCATTCAATAATAAATAAGTCATATATTTTTCAGTTCGATAATACTTTTCCAGTAAATAACCCTGATGTGTTACTTTCAGTGCTGATAAATGATGTTGCTTGAGAAGTGGTAGCCTCATTTTCTGTATTTTCAAAATTCTCATCATGATGATTGTTCATGTTCTCCTTTTCAGCATCATTCATGTTACTAACAAGACATTTTAAAATAGTGGTAGCTACATTTTTCATATTTTTGAGATGGTCTGCACTCTCTATATCTTCAGTGTTATTACTCCAGTTATTAAGATCATCTGTGTTCTTTATATTTTCAGCGTCATTCATGTCATTCTTACAACTTTTGCATTTTTGGTACCACACATATTGTTATTCAGCAAAAACATGGCCTTTACAATTTGTTGCATATCATATTTATTCAACTTAAACCTTACCTCTATTTTTTTTTACAAACATACTTGTTAAGTGAATAAATTGTAATTCAAGTAAAACAACGATAGACACTTGTAAATAAATAGTACACAGATATTTATTGAAGTGTTTTAGTAATGAAGAGTTTATTATAGAGTTTGTAGTGAAGAGTTTATTAACAGGAGTTTGTAACGAAGTGTT